ATGGATGGCAGGAGAGAGATCACTTGATCATTGCCTGTTAGGTCCACTCCCTCTGGGGCACTGGGCATTGGCCACCGTCGGTAGACAGGATACTGGGCTAGATGGACCTTTGGTCTGACCCGGTACGGCCGTTCTTATGTTCTTATAGTCCAATGTCCATATTCAGGGTGACTCCAGTCAGTGACTGGGGATCTCAATCCTTGTGGCTTAAGGTTTCCCCCTCTTGAAACCCAAAGCAGATCTGAGATGAAGCAGGATCATGTCCCAGGGTTCTTATACATTTCCAGCAGCCTTTTGGCCTGAGAAAACAATAGGCCTAATTCTCCTTCTCTCAAACATCCTGGCAATTAGCACAAGGTAATTTATCCATTAAACAGTTCAGATACAGGTTACCACAACCTTCAAAGAGACATAGAGACAATAATACTATTTCCCCCAAGTGTCTTCCTAAATATTAATACTCCTTTTTTGATCTTTGAATGAAATCTATAGCAATAGACAAGACTTGTTTGCTTATATTACAAGCCCTGAGCAAACATCTACCCTTGAGATCTCTAACAATGCAGACTTACATTTCAAAGCTCTATTCATTTACAGATCTTCCTATCCAGTCTCTAAAGTTGGGCCATGGGTCAGGTTAGTCTGGGAGGTAATTAACTCTTTCTGGCCCTGTCACCTTTCAATGAGATATTATATCACTCTCCTAACGTCACAGGGAGGGACAGGGAGTTCCCCATCATTCTCTATGGCAGAGGCTGCCAAGCTGTGGCAGAGGAGTGCTGTACCGGGGGTCTGTCCCGTTTCAGGGGTAGTGGGCCCCAGAGCCAGCCAACTCCTGATCTGGGACATGCCCCCTTTAAGGACACAGGTGTTCCGGGGAACAGCAGATCTGCTGAGGAAGTGGGGCCAGGTGCAAATCTGCAGCCAGCTCCTGAACAGGATCAAGCCGGCTGCAGGGGCACCCCCAGGAGGGGGCCAGCTGGGGGAGCGGCTCCCTGGGCTGGGACCCAGCAGGGGGCCAGGTGGGCTGGGGTGGCCTGCCTTAGTCACAGCCCCAGGTAGGGGGCTGGGGCCCCAGAACCGCGGGTCCAGGAGTTCTGTGGAGCCCAGATGCTGGTGGGCTGGGGACGCGGCCGGAGACCCAGCCCCAGGAGAAGGGCCGGGAATCAGGGCCGGCTCCAGGCACCAGCTTACCAAGCAGGTGCTTGGGGTGGCCACTCCGGAGAGGGGCGGCACGTCCGGCTATTCGGCAGACGGTCCCTCACTCCCGCTCGGAGCAAAGGACCTCCCGCCGAATTGCCGCCGCAGATCGCGATCGCAGCTTCTTCTTTTTTTGCGCTGCTTGGGGCGGCAAAAATCCTGGAGCCGGCCCTGCCGGGAATGCCTGCTGGTTGCAGAAGGACGAGCCCCATGCCAAGGACCCCACAGAGAGGCCAGGGGTCACGGAGCTGCAGGCTCTGGAACAGTCCCAGGGGGACCCCTTCAGTGTGTCAGCCCCCCGAGGGTCACACTCCCACTGGGGTCAGCCCCTCAGTCCCCTCCTGGGACCGACCCTCGGAGCCTCCAGCACCCCTGGGTCACGCCGGGCTCCTGCAGTGAGTCCACTGGACTGGCCCCCTTGGGGAGGCTGCACGCCCGGCCCAAAGGGAGCAGTGCCCCCCGAGCTCCTGCCTGCAGCGACTCCCAGCCCCGGGGCAGCAGCAGGTGGGGTCCTGGCTGTCTGGGACACACGCAGACAGTGCGGAGCAGCGACTGGAACGTTACAGCAAAGCCCCGATCCCTCCTGACCCCCCTCGAGTCCCCATCCAGGAGCGTGTGTCCTGCTTCCCACGGCCCACGCACTAACCGCCACCAGGCCTCTCCGCCATCCCTTGGGCAAATCAGGTCACCTGGCTTCCCCCTCGGTTCTTTGTTCTCCAGCTGGTCGCAGGCGCCTGGCCTCTTGCAGAGGGTGGGCCCCAGGGCTGGCAGTTGCTGGGTTACAAAATGTCCAGGCCATGGTCTGAGCCAGGCGGCAGCCACACCTGGCAAGAATAAACCTCCTCTTGCCACCACCTAGTTACACGTGCAGCACAGAGGGGAAACTAAGGCACACACCGTATTCATGCACAACATGCAGAATGCCCTGGCCTTGAGCGGGTGGGGAGGCCGGTGGGGGAGGGGGTGCCCGGTGGGGGAGGGGTGCCCGGGCCTGGCTGTGAGGGGGTGGGTGGGGAGGCCGGTGAGGGAGGGGGTGCCCGGACCTGGCCGTGAGGGGGTGGGGAGACTGGTGGGGGAGGGGTTGGGGGTGCCTGGATCTGGCCGTGAGGGGGAGGGAGGCCGGTGGGGAGGGGTGCCCGGACCT